GTTCACCGTGGAGTGGCTATCCTGCTAACAGAACTGGAGATATTTATGCATGTCCTGTTGATACGTCCAAAACTACATGTAAAAAATTGAATTTACAAGGTAAGTTGTAACCAGTAATGTCTTCCTGCAATTTTTCAGTTTTCACTTATTTTTGTACGATGACACTCTACCTTATTAAAACATTTCTTAACTAGCTCTCTGCATAATCTCAGTCTCTTTGGGGTGTGCTGCAAGCACACAGTGCCAGCTGCTGATAAGACTGTCTGTCTGAGGAAAAACTGGTGCCTGCAACTTGAGTCAGGCCAGGGTGTGGGCATCTGGCCTGTAGTGCCAACTGCTGGTGGCACTGGGGTCTAAGTGTCACTCACTGGGGTCTTGAACCTCCAGACGTGGAGCAAGGAATGCTGTAGGTCCCTAAGCCATCTGAACCAGGGCTCTGTGTCATTGAAGGGCTCCTTGCTGGCATCTTGGGGTGGGCTGATGGGAGGATGAGTGTCTCTGTCTTCCCCAGACCAGATATGGGGATGCGTGTCTGCAAACTAAGTATAAAATGACGTTCACGTTTGGATACAGTGAAAATACGGGACAGCAGAGCAGGCTGAGACGCCTACTTTATGTTTCTTTGTGATGCATAGTATTTCTGCCCTCCACCCCCCTTCCAAGTTTTTGTCTAAAGCCTGATAACTGGATCAGAATGTCCTGAGGAATGTAACAGTAGCTGCTCAAGCTGCAGCTACTCAGCCAGCCAAAAACAGGCAGTAGATAGTGCGTTTCTTTCTCTCTTTTGCCTTCAGCTTCCATGAGGCAGATACTCTTAAATGGCCATACTTGATTCATCTCTATAGTTAATGGCTAGCAATTTTTTTTACAAAGATTGGGGTTTGTTTCTTTTGTCTCAGAATTGTATGCAGCCACTTGGAAAGGCATCTTTGATTCTGAGAAATCAAGTTTTTGTGAAGGAATTCTAACTTACTAAATTGCTTCTGCATCTTATTTATTATTCTGTCATTACGTAATCTCATTTTATTTCAGCTTTAATAAATATTCCAAATGTGACTGAAATAAAGGAAGACATGAACCTGGGCTTGACTCTGATACAGAACTCAAAAACAGGAGGATTTTTGGTATGTATCAAGATTGTATTCAGTATACACAGAAATGCCTGAGGTGAATGAAGAAACCAGAGTTCTCTACCTTGGACTATATTTAGTCCAAGCTAAATATATTTTATTATGTACCATAGATTAGTACATCTTTTGCATATTTTAAAATATTCCATACTGCTGTCATTACCTAGGGTCCAAAATCAGGAAAATTGTGAAATCTCTCCTGTGTCATTTATCTGAACATCCTGTGGAAGGGCTTATAATTAAAGACTCAGTAATTTAAATTGGACAATATAGGCAGGAATATTTCCATCATTATATTCTTTAAGGGAATCTTTTATAGTTCTGATTGTGTTTCAAAAGACTGTATGTGATCTCTCCTCCACCATGTGCACTTGCACAGGGACTGTCCTCCTGAGGTGTTAGGATTTCTAGTCCCATGGATTTAAGAAGTGTTTCATTTGGTTAGTGAGCTGGAGGAGGATGCATTTTCTGTGTGTATATGCTGCAAAGAACTATTCTTGGAGCCTGTGAAACAGATTTCTTAATTGAAAGGAAGTGAATGCCTGTTTAATATGCTTTTTTTATAATCTTAATCATAAGCATGAAAACTGTTGCTGTATAGGTTTATTTCAGTTTGATGTGTACATTGTAGCTATGTGCAGTAAATAAGTGGAACAATAAATTACAGGTAAAAGAGCTTTGAGGCTCTATTTAAGCTTTGTATTTTTCAGTTGTATCTTCCTAGCAATCACAAAAGTATTCAAATATTTATTATATTCATTAACACATAGTCCAGTTCACTGAAGTACTTAAAAGTAGGCCTAATTCCAACGCCCTTGCAGTTAGTAAAGTTATTCATAACTTCAAAATACAGCAAGAGTGCTTTTCTTGATTTTTGATTTGAGAAGGTACTGATTTAAAAAAATCTTATTCTGTGTCTTAAATAATACTTTTAATTACCGTTAATGATGTCCCATGAATACCCACTTTTAATCAGTATCAGTAACTGCAGTGTTTTAAAATGTCTCATGTAGGAAAGGTTCTATTTTCTAATAATATTTGAACTTCTCTCAGTCAAAAAGAATTTCCTGATCTATGTGTTACTGATGGACCGTCCTTAAATTGCATGAAGGAAAAATGAAAAAAAAGATTGACTGGTAAGACATGAACAGGCCATGTCTTTGGCAACAGGAGTTCTTTTTGACATATGGAGAATGGGTACTGGGGACAGGTGCTTATCTGTGACTCAGCCTCAACATGTATCAGAAACCCACAATTGTGGCAAGTATTGGGCTACATGGGTAGAATGCCTGCTCATACTTCACACTGCTGCAGGCCAGGACTTTGCTCTGGGACTCTGTCTGTGGCAGCTGGCCTTTGTGATGGGCTCTTTGGGCTGTGCTTAGGGCTTCCTCCTCCTAGCTCGCTGTTCTCCTTCCTCCTGTGGCTGCTCCCCTCTCAGCCTCCATCCACTTGCTGCTTGCCCAGGCCCTGGGCTGCTCGCCTGGGGCATGACGCAGCCTGTAGAGTCTGTGCCGTAGCTGGTTCATCTGTTTGATGCCATGTGAATGCTTCCCACAGGTATCCTAAGTACAGGGCAGTCATTTCCCACACACTCATTACATTTTTCTGAGGCATGCTTGGTCCTGTTGGAGACATGCTTAAGAATTTCACTGACGGTTAACAACGTTTTTTTGGAGTTCTCATTTAAGTTTCTATCAGTTTGTTTTTGGGGCAGCGCTGCACCTTAGTTGAAAGAAACAGCTCCCATCTACTTGCATGTAAAATCTCCTTTCTATATTTGACACCTCGCAATCGCTCTCCTTTGTCCTTTGCTTTGTTAAACAAACATAGAGTTTTTTGGCTGAAATGTGCTTTTTAAAATAAACTTCTCTCAAACAGGAGTGGCCAGATCTAATCTGTATTCCACATGAGTATTTCCAGGGCATTATACAGTGTATTCGGTATTTCCCCAGCTCAGCAGCAAGCGCTTCTTGTCACACATCATTAAGGCATATTGGCTTTGCATGCTGGCTCTGTGCATATGGTCACCCTGCAAATCAGCCACTGTTTGCTTCTCTCTCTTCCATTCAGTGACCTTCCAGTTTATGTCCGTATTTCTTAACGTAAGTCCTGAAGGGCAAGTCTGTGCCCCTTTCTAATATTCCACCTTTCAAGTTCATCAGTCCTTGATATGCAATCTCCCAGTTTTCCCCTGCGTTAATGATACATCTTAAATTTCAGACTGTAACAATGCTAGAACATTAGAGTTTTTCCCATTTTAAGTGAAGATCAGCAAAGATTATTAGAACATTTTTTTGCTTTTTCATCCAGTAGTGACATCACAGTTCTGACTTACCACCAATACAGAAGAAAATTAGAAAATGGGCAAATGAGATTGATCTCAAAAGAAATTTAAGGGCCAGTAGCTCTCCTCCAGCTTTGTAGTTACTAATACAGATGATTTATTTTGCACCTTTTACCTCTCAAAAATCTGTCTTTCCCAGTAAAAACTAATCATGCCTCATGTGGCAGCTAAAAAGAGCACTTAACTCAAAATCTGATAATGTAGATACACTTCCTTTCTCTCATCTGGAAAATCTGTCTGGTCAAATATCTTAGGATAGTGGGATGTATGACAGGTCAGTCATACATAGGATAGTGTAGTCCGACTATATTTTCCATTTACTTTTGACCTTAATTACCTTACCTTCCACTCCCACTCCCCCTCCCCCGTGATATTCTCGAGAAAAGGGTGATACTGCTGTTATCCTTCTCTTCTCTTCCTAAATAGAGGTGGTACATCCTCTGTTTACCAGACTCTCCTGACTAGGGCAACCAGAGAGTATATGTAAAGAAGCTACCATTTCTTACAGAACTGTTGGACAGAGGTTATGTAGAGGTGTTTGGTTTTATGTCTTTTTTTCCTGGGTTCCTAATATAATTTTCTTTTAGAAGGAAATATACCCCCCCCCCCATACCTATATACAGCTGCCTCCCCATCCTCATGACAAAATACTGTCTTAATATTTTTTTTGTCCAGGTGCTTTCGTACCTACTCTTCTGATATCAGAGCTGTGGTTTTCATGCGGCCAGCTCAGTTCTTGTTACAGAGATGGTTTTCATCAGGAAAGCGGGATTATTTTCCACGAAAGGCAATGAAACATGTAGCCAAGGGGCGTGAGAGGCCGGGGTCAAACTATTTCTTTTAGTGCGGCAGAAGAGGGGGCAGTGCTCACTGTGAGGCTGCAGTCCCACTGGAGATGATGTAGTTTAACTGGTAAATATTTTGGCAAAGCGAGTTTTCCCTGAGGAACGCGGCTCCCCTAAGGTGCAGCTGTGAGGGCCGAGCTCTCGGCCGCGCTGTCGGCGTCACCACCAGCCCCGTGCCCGGGGCGCTGCCGCCACCTGGCGGCCACGGCGACGCTGCAGCGCGGCCTGCTCGGCAGGAGGGCCCGGGCCGGCAGCGAGGGAGAAGGAAAACTGCGCCCAGCCTGCGGGACTGGGGTCATCCCGGGTAGGGAATCCTCCCCGTCAGAAAACCTGTGAAAGCGGCTACACTGATTGAAGGGATTTGGCCTGGTAACCCCAGAGGGCTCCCCTAATCCTATATGCTTCTGGTCCTCCTTGTTGTGGGTTTGTACCTGTATGCCTGTAGTCCTGCTTGTTGTGAGTTTGTATGTAGATACGGTGAGACAAATACTTTGTTATTTTTATAGTTTCTTTTTTTTGTTGTTGTTATTTTTAAGACTTGTGGTCCCTTGTGGGCACAGCAGTGTGGAAGACAATACTATGCAACAGGAGTTTGTTCTGAAATCAGTCCAAGTTTCCAGATCCTAAGAAGCTTTTCTCCTGCTGTTCAAAGTAAGGCAACGTGTGCAAAACGGAATCAATTAAAACAAAACAAAACAAAAAAAATAAAATTAAAAAACCCCAACCAAACAAACAAACAAAAAAACCCCACCAAGAAACCAACCAAAAAAATACCCAACCAAAAACCCATATCAAATTAAGTTAAGCTACATTGTGTTGGGGACAGTTGATTTTGATTTCTTAAAAAATGTATGTGCCAAAAGCAAAGTCCTGTGATAGATACATAAGGACTGAAAAATCATGACCCAATGCAAATATGAATATGGTCTTGCTCCTCTGTATTCAGAGGCATTGCACCAGTCCAGGCTGCAAACCTGCATACACTTCTTCTGAGTCCTCATTCTGGCAAAGCCTTCTGATCTGAGGTGTTGCCTGTGTGCGACCTAAATAAAGAAATAAACCTTTGGATTTAGCTGAAGGGTATATTGAGACTGCAAGTGCATTTAATGTTCACTTTTTGTTTTTGTTTTAGGGTGTTCCTCTGTTATAGATGTGGTCGTGGTTTGTGATGAGTCAAACAGCATTTATCCCTGGGATGCAGTGAGGGCATTTTTGAAAAAATTTGTACAAGGCTTAGACATAGGCCTTAACAAGACCCAGGTAAGTCAAAGACATATTTGAGAAAGACCAAAAAAAAAAAAAAAAGAAAAACACCAAAAAACACAAAACAAAACAAAACCAACCAATTTTAAAAGAAACCAAATGTGATTTAGTGTAACTACAGTACCTCCCCCAAAGCTGCAGGTTATGCAGTTATCCTATTCAGTGTTGAGGATTTTATATCACAGCTAGCCTATTTCAAAAGGGATTAGTAATTTAATTCAAAATATAAACCAACTGAAATAGAAATCTAGGTTATATGTATGTGAATCAGATCTCTTTCATTCATTTGGTATAAAAGTAGTTAAAATATAGTCTGTTGGGATGTGGTTAAAGTAAAACAGGTTTTTAATGGGCTTTCATACAGCTCTTACTTTCCAACTGCTGCATCTTTAAAAAAGGAGTTTTTCCTTCTGGGTTACTAACTGATTTTCGAGTTCTGTTTTCCTTTTGATTTGGTGATGGTAAGGAAAATTTTATTGCCTTCTGTCTTTACAGTTGTCCATTTACCATAAACAGGTCTGGGAATAAAGACCGGGGCACTGGAAACCTCCCTCCCAAAGGTTGCCTTCTTCCTTGGGCTACTTTGGAAATGAGGTGCTTAAAAGCTAGGCTTCCTTCTTTATGAATTTCACCTTTAGCACCTTCTCTTTTTTTTTAAACCCTGTATTAAAAATAAATAGGGTTTGCAATGCTGCAAAGTAATCAATCTTTAGGACTTCCTTAGAAGAGATCAGAGTGAGGTGCTGTCATCTTGTAGAATTTTTGCTATTTTCTTATTTTTCCCAGAGCTCCTCCTATTGTTACTATCCATAAACTCTTTCAGAAGTAACCAAGCAAACATTTAATGTCTGCCGTTTCATATTTTTGCATTAGGATATTGTAGTCCATAATAAATGATATAAGGTGCAAGAGCATTTTAGTTTTCTTTGTTTTCCACGTGTTAATATTAATTGGTGTTGAAAGAAAATGATAACCTCATGTGCATCTGCCGGGCTTTAATTCCAACTTGATATAAGTAAGCATCATGGTTCTATGTAACTAATTGTAATTCATGATAATCTGACATAATTTTTTTATTGCATAGGTGGGTTTAATTCAATATGCTAATGATCCCCGTGTAGTCTTCAACTTGAATACGTATCAAACAAAGGATGAGGTTGTTAAAGCGATGGAGAGAACATCTCAGAAGGGAGGAGATCTCACTAATACTTTCAAAGCCATTGACAATGCAAGGTGGGACACATTGATGTTTACTGTGCAACTATTGTAACTTACCTTAAACAGCAAGGAGAACATCCTGAATTTCATTCCCACCAGGAGACAATTTGCTCAGGGCCTCTGAGTAGGTTCCCAGTGGCAGGCAGAATCCTGGCCATTGCAGAATGGTACAGGAATATGTAAACTAGACTTGCTGAAAAGCGTGTTGTTAAAACATTGGGTTAAACATTACACTAACGTAATTCTGGTACCCAACAGAGTTGCTTTTTCTGTCACACGTGTTTAAACATGACAGTGCATCAAATACAGTGGACAAGGTTTTAGGAAAGATACAAAACCATTGAAAGAAGTAAAAGTTTATCGAGGGTTTCAGTTGGGCTTGTGAGATTGGTGCTTGTAGGTCAGGCTTTGGTTGATTGCAGAGAAAATAAAACCTCTTCTCTGTTGTCAGTTTGTCAGTGCAGCACCAGCAGCATGAAAAGTAGGAAAAGCTTAAAAAAATATTCTATGACTCTCAATACGTATACAAACCAGGTCTGTTTCTCAACAGGAAGATGCTGTTTTTAAGCTGGATCAAGGACAGAACTCTAGACCAAAATGCATGCTGAATCAAATGGCCTTGAAAATTTAAGAGCAGACTCAGCCATCAATGGAGTAAATATTTGCAGTAGTACTGAGGAGCCTATAATTAATTCTCCTCCACGTTTTTCTGAACTTGGTGAAGCCAGTTTCTGGTGTCATAAAACTTAAGTAGTTCTAACAAAACCCACTTTTTGTTTAGAAATATTTGTACAAAAAAAAATTTGGTTTTCAGGTAATTTACATTTCTATCAGAATTACTATCCAGTTCTTCCAGTCCTACTATTTTTATCTTGTAATCCTGTGTACATTTCTTAGGGCTCTTTGAGCAGTGGTTTGTGAAGAAGTTATCAGGAGCATAACTGAAAATTCTTATTGCAGATTGTTAATTCACAAAGAAAAATCCACTACAGAAGCACCTTGTTCTAAACCAGTGATGGACATATTCATTACAGTATATGTACTGAATTCCATCCATTATAGACTGACATGTATGTTTTATAACAGACAATATGCCTTCTCACCTGAATCGGGAGGACGTCCAGCAGCCACAAAAGTGATGGTTGTTGTGACAGACGGCGAATCACATGATGGCTCCAACTTGAAAACAGTGATAGGTAAATGCAATGAAGACAATATAACCAGATTTGGCATTGCTGTAAGTAATACTAAAATTAAATAATATTGCAATTTTTAAAGATTGTTTTGTTGTGCATGTATGAAAGGGCACGTTCTATGCATAAGCACTATATAGTGCATGCATTGTTGCACTGGTGAGACTGAAATGCAATCAGATTAATCCTTATAAACTAGTGAAATACTAGTCTTCTTTACTGGCTGAAAGAACAAGACTAGTGTTTCCTGAGCAACTTAAATAATTTTCTCTTTTACCACATTTTATGTATTATTCCTGTCTGAATGCTGCCTTGCATAGGAATACAGTCTTATAAGCAATTCAGTAATATGAATGAAGATGGTTCTTTTTTTTAGTATGTAGAATATTTGCTCAAATAATACAGAAGGAAATGGGGTAACACTATGATTTTTTTCACTCGTCTCATTTTGCTGTTTTTTTGTTTGTTTTTTTTACCCAAGGTTTTGGGATACTTAATCAGGCATGAACTTGATACTAAAAACTTAATTAAAGAAATCAAGGGAATTGCTAGTCATCCAACAGACAGGTATTTCTTCAATGTATCATCTGAGGCTGCACTGCTGGAAGAAGCAGGAACACTTGGAGAGCGCATTTTTAGTATAGAAGGTAAAATACTCAATGTCTCTGAAAAATTAGATCAGATTCTCCCAGCTGACAAGCTGGCAATTTTATTTAGCTTCAGCTTAGAGTAGGATTGTGAAATTGAGAGGCAGCTAGAGCTGCAGGCTACTTGCACAGGTGTTCTCCCAGCTACTTCACCCCTAATAAGCCCGAGCTTCAAGTTAGTTTTTGCAGTTTGCGGAAAACATTTCCCAGTTGATGAAAATTTCTATCAATTCATCATGGGCTTCAGGCATGGGGGTTTGTCTATATGTGTCCAAATGTATTTGGAACTATTACCATCATCTTTATGCTTGTCAGCTGCAACTCTGTGAATGCTAAGCAACTGTAAATTTAAAAAACAAATCAGAAGACTTGCTTACTGGTTTAGGAACTGAAAAGCTACAGTAGTACAATCTGTGTGATGCCTACCAGGCTCAATCCCTAACATCACCCGTGCTTTTGTGTACTGTTTGGAGGAAGGTGTTGCAGAGGTGACTTGAAGACACTTTGTCACCCCCAAGGCCAGCTTTTAAATTTTAGTTTATATTCAGACCTTGCTCCTTAATGAGCTGCAGCCTTCCTGTGCTCAGGATGGAACTTCCTTTCTCTGTCACCCCATCTATTCTTTACTGGTCCCATACTGCTAGTCAAAATAAGAGGATAGGTTGAGCTCCTTATCTTGCTTTTTCCTGAGTACTTGAATTGAATCAATTTTATCCATTTTATCAATTTCCCGTTAAATCCTCCAAATTTTCTATAGTTTATCAGCTCTGATTTCCATTGTTTGTAAATGCTTTAGCAGAATTGGTGGGTATGTACAGTCCCTATATAGCTAAACTCACAGGCAGTAAGGTTGGGTATTGTGTGGCTCTAAGGGGCTAACTAACCACATGTGGATATCTGTTTTAACAGGTACAGATCAAGGTGATACTTTCCAAATGGAAATGTCACAGGTGGGCTTCAGTGCATATTACTCACAAAAAAAGGTATGTGAATATAATTATTTAATGATACGAGTAGATGTAATTATGTGGACATGAGTGCAACAAAAATAAGAGTAATAAAGCACATTGTCCAATTTTAAGATCTTTTTTACAAGCAGGTGAATGTCAAATTATTCTTTTAATTTTTCCTGTACTTGAATGCCACTAATAGATGAAAAAATATATATTAATATGTGACACTGAATAACAGTTTCTTTCATTTAATGATTTTGAGATGTGTTAATACAATGATTTCCATGATTTCTGAGTTCATGTAGCAGGGAAAAATCAGTTGTTCCATGTTTGTATCTTGGACTTGAATAACTCAGAAGAATTGAAACTACATTGTGAGTCTGGTATATTTCTCGGAAGTCACCAAAATATAAATAAATCAAGTAGTAAAATTATTAATTATAAAATTAATAATATTTCATTTAGAAATTAGAAAGAACATAAATCGGATATATTTAATGCTAATAAATTTTAAGATTATCTTGACCAAATAGGTCCTCTTTGTAAAACTCAAGTGTGGTTCAATAAACTTTCAAGTGAAAATATGAGAAGGTTGTTTCTTTTTTATGGCCCTTAAAGATGAATGAAATAATTTGTAAAAGTATTTGCACAAATTAAAGTTTTAAATTATGAAGCACTCGATGCTAGGAAATAAGAAACATTTGGACATTCCTTCAAGAAAATTACACATCCAGTTTTATTGTAGTTTTCTATAACAGTATCTCAGTTCAGTGAAGCATTTTAGTAATTTGAATAAACTAAACTGTGTTTGTTTTCTATGTACAAGTCTAAGACTAGGTATTTCTGTATGAAGTATTCTGTTTAATAAGCCATGTTAATTTGGAGTTTAGGTTTAACTGTTCTCTCAAGAACATCTCCTCATATAAAGAATTAAATTCTGTATCTATTTCTTGTATCTGTCCTGTATCAGCTATTCTGTGTCTATCAGCTTTTGTGTGCTGTCATTGGCACTTTTGTTGTCAAAAAGGGGGCTTTAGCTTTTTCTCACAGATTTGTTTGCATGATCCTCAGTCTTCTGAGGATCATGAGTGCATAAAAGCATTACCTTAGCAATCCCAACCCCAGGGTGGACAGACTTAGGAAATTGTGTTTAAATAAACCCATTTTATCTTGAGTTGCAGTGCCATGGGAACTAAAGTGGTCACTTATCCTCTTGCAGGAGAGGGGTGATAATCCCTCTTAATAGGGCAGTGAAGTCCTGCATGGAAGTGGTAATTATAAGCAGCTCCAGTCAACTGCCTACAGTCTTTGGATTGTACATCACTGCTTTAACACAGTGATATAGAAAATTATCTATGATAACTTAAGCTTTGCTCACACTTTTTCTAAATCAGGTAGTTCTAAAATGTTGACTTTTTTTTTTTTTTGAAGGATGTTCTGCTGCTGGGTGCTGTTGGGGCCTATGACTGGAGTGGAACAGTAGTACAGGAATCTTCAGACAGAGTCACCACCTTTCCAAGCCATGTGTTTGAGAAGATTCTACAGGACAGAAATCATAGCTCATATCTAGGTAAGGGGCTGAAATACAAATTTGGAAATTTATCGAAGCTTAATTAAAATAGAAAAGTACTTGGAAAATTCTCCTCTAGCCAGATCCCTGTTACGAGCTAATCTGAGAATATGAAAAGAATTTTCAGTTGGAAAATATTTAATTTACTGGACAACAGTTCATTGAATGAGGTCTTTATTGTGTTATTAAATTCTACTCATACCAATGTGGTAGACTGAAAAAAAATCAGACTCTGTCACTGGTGTGGTTTAACCCCAGTCAGCAGCTAAGCACCACACAGCCACTCACTCCCCCTGGTGGAATGGGGGATAGAGTCAGAACAGTAAAAGTGAGTGAACTTGTGGGTTGAGATAGAGACATAACAGTGACTTGGGAAGACAAACACCAACACTCTGAACGTACCCCCTTCCTCCTCCTTCCCCCAGCTTTGTATGCTGAGCTTGATGCTATATGGGATAGGATATCCCTTGGGTGAGCTGGGTTCAGCTGTCCTGGCGGTGTGCCCTCTCAGCTAAAACATCTCTCTGTTATCAACATTATTTCCAGCATATATCCAAAACACAGCCCCATACCAACTGCTGTGAAGAAAATTAACTATATCCCAGCCAAAACCACCACAGTCACAGAGGCATAAAAAATTATGGAATTTGAAAAAACTGCCTAGTGAATCATTATGGGTCCTTTCTGTTATATTTGTATGTTCTTCCCCAGTTCCATGTGGATGAGAAGCTGATTGACTTGCTGTTGTTTCATATGTGCTTGCTATTTTCTTGGCCTTTTCCAGTTCAGTTTATAATTTTAGAAATATTGGTACCATTTAATAGAGGTCTTATTTATAATTCCCATATGTATTCTTTGACACATTTTTGTGACTCAATAAAACCAGTCAGTTTGTATTCTCAGTTCACTGAAATGTTTTCTGCAAACCTTCAAGATGCCTGCTCTGATGGTTTATCCCTGAATATGCTACTACATTAAACACCTAATGACTCAGCATTACTTGAATCCAAAACAACGAATAAATCTAAACCCAGCCTAATGCGGAGTAGCTTCTTTTCATGTGTGACCTCTTCAGACTTTCTCTTACTTCCTTTTTATAATAGTTTTTAAAAGGTCAGGTCACTTCCTTTCTCTACATGGCAGTTTTAGAGTATTTACTTCAATCTTTTTTGGAGAAAACAATGTCGTTGCCTTTTCTGTCTTTTCATTTCCCTTCCACCTTCTATCCCCCACTAGTAGCTCTCCATACCAGCTCTCTCTCACCATCTTGTGGGAGCACAAGTTTAAGAGGTGCTACCACATGACAGCTTGCTAGATTGGTCCCTGTTCTGCACTGCACTCTCTCACTTCAAGTGGTTGCCTGCTATATTAGTCGGGAATGTGTGTCCTAAATTGCAGAATAAAATCATGTTTCATTGTTGCTCATTGAACTTCTAGTCACAAAGGATGTTCTCACCCTAGAAAAACAGTGTCTGAACAAAAATATGAAGTAGACTGGTATATGTAAAGATCAAGGCATAATCCTTTTAGATTTTGTTCCTCATATTGTCCTGCAGCTTACTAGAGATCTGCATTTTCTGTACAATCACTGGCATTTTGTTATTCAGTTTGACTATGGAATTATGCAGAACGATTTTGTTTTCTACTGTTAAAAATAAATTTGCTCTAATTAAACCACAGAAAAGTGAGGTATGTACTAATGCTAGATTTATAGTGCTAAGACATGTTTAAAATATTTTCAGTATTAAACGATGTTTCCTTAAAGCAAATAATGTTAGAATAATGGTAATGAGGATTAAAATAGCTATTAATATAGCCTGTTCTATTTGGCTAAAGCACTGGGCTGTGGTTTGGTAAGCTGTGAGAAAATGCACTGCAAGCTTTGCAGAAGCTAGGTGTTCCTCCCTAGTTTGAAGGCTGGCCCAAATGTTCATCTCATGTTTCTCTTTACTTCTTTTTTTCCAAAGATACTCTTTGTGCTTTTTTTCCTATCTCCTTCACAAGCATGACATTTCTGTGGTCTGTGTTTTACTGAATAGGCTAAAGTACTCTATTCTGCAAACCTGTTCCAACTTGATCTGTATGTCATTGTTCTGTCCAAAGTATATTGCAAATTTTATGCATATGTGACTGTGTAACTTCCCATCTTGAAAGCATCATTCTCTGTGATTAACATACCAGACTGACTCATCTTCTGCCCTTTATGGATAACCAACTGATGAATTGTAATTAATGGTCTCTCACACATGTTAAATGTTGGCTTCTACCCCAGGTTATTCTGTTGCTGTTCTCTCAACTATGAGCTCCATCTATTTTGTTGCTGGTGCACCAAGATCCAACTACACTGGCAGAGTGGTGGTTTATGATGTTGACAGTGATGGTAACATTGCAATTGTACAGTCACAGAGAGGAGAGCAGGCAAGTATATTTTGGTCATGAATGCAGACTTTTAGGCATCTCTTTTTATTGACCCAGCAGTAAATTGTAATTTGTTTTGAAAATTCCACTTTCTTGCAAAGCATTTAGAATCCCTTTTTCTCTGCCACTAGACTGTTTCAAGAAGGTCAACTGTAACTCTTAAAGAGTGGTAAAAGATAATGTACAAAGCTAAATAATGTATCATTCTGTCAACAATTCTAATTGATATATAGATACTCAGTGAACTCCACTCTGCCTGAGAAGTTGTGAAGTAGACAACATCAGAAGAGAGATCTGAAAACTCAATCTCTTTTTGTCTATTTGAAGAAGAGCAGTGAGTTTGGTTTCATCTAAGACAAGTGTGAGAGTAGATCAAAGCTTGGGTAGGTTCATGTGCACAGATATAAAAAATATACCTCCCATAGCTTACTCTCTGTTGGCATTTGTATTGCTTAGTGGTAAAGCCATAGCAGCAGCTACTGGACAGAAGCAGTGGACACATGGTAAAGATAAGATTCTTCAAACACTGGACTATGTTATATAGTAATTTAATTTCATTCATCAACAGGCAGTTTCATTAAGTCATATTGGAATATTACTGGATGTAAATTTTCTGAGTCAGATGCTAAAACATGTTTTATAAAGTCCACATACAATCCTGACCCATTTATTACTGATTTCAGATTGGCTCCTACTTTGGCAGTGTGGTGTGTTCAGTGGACGTCAACAGGGATTCTGTGACAGATGTGCTGCTTGTGGGTGCACCAATGTTTATGAATGACCTGAAGAAAGAAGAAGGAAGAGTTTACATGTTCTCTGTCACAAAGGTAACAATGGCTCAAGCTGGCATTGCCTAGGGCTAACTTCTTTCAAAGCAGACTGCCACATGCATGCTAAGAGGCCATTGGCCTCTTCAGTATCTCCTAAGTCACTCTCAGTGAATCTTTTCAAAGTGTTAGAAATATTTCGAGTGATATTTTTTCTAATAAGACACAGAGCATGTGCTTTTCCTGGGATGTGGCATAAGGGCAGGGGTGAATGATTCAAAGCCTAACTCTTTAGAAGACCATGGGTGGAGGCCTTCCCAGTGCCACCTCACCTGTTGTGCTTTTCAGTAGCAGCTGCAGGCTTTCCCCAGAACTGCTTGTGCGTGTAATCTGGGAATTAGCCTGATGGAACAGGCCATGTTGCTGAGAACACAGCTGCATTGGGCAGGGCACGTCTCCAGGATGAAGGACCACCGCCTCCCTAAGATCTTGCTTTATGGTGAACTTGCCGCAAGAGAGGAGCCCCGAAGAAAAGATACAAGGACTCCCTGAAACAACATCTCAGCCTTGGCCATATTGATCACCATAACTGATCTACTCTGGCCTCCAGTCAGGAGGTCTGGAGACACATCATCTATAACACTGCTGATGCCTTTGAGAACACACACAGGATCACTCTCAAGGAGAAAAGACAATGCAGAAAGAGTCGTGTCTTGCAGAATATACCATCTAAGGAGTCTTTCTGCTGTGCTTTTTGCAACCGGACGTGCCTGTCTTGCATTGGCCTTTTTAGCCACCAGTGCGCTTGCAACAAACGTGGGTAGTGCCCCTCCCAAATCTTCGTTCGCGAAGTCTAGCCGTGATGAGCCCGATGGAACAGGCCAAAGTGGAGCCAATAACGAAGGCAGTAACTAGGCACTGTTAGTGGTCAGGGGCCTGCTCTCAGTGTCTCCCTGGTCCTGGTGTCAGGCATTGTGATAGGTGCTTTACACTAATATAGCATGGAGTTGGCCATATCTCAAAAAGCCCCATCTCAAGGCTTTTACTAATTAATTTGCCATTTGATTTTGGTAAATGTGTTCAACACCTGACAGTAGTCCCAAAGCAGTTCTAAGAAATTCTCTTCTACCAGTTTTCTGCATTGTTTTGTAGACTCTGATATTGGATGGTTAATATTACTCTTGTTGTCTCCTCTGTTCAGTGAAGCTGTGTTGTCTCATGCCTGACTGATGGTGCTTTTTATTCAGACCCGTAGTAGGTGTTTTCAGAATATTTATTAAACATCCTGAGCCCTCTGCCACTTTTGAACAGTCTTTCAATCACTGGATATCTAGATATGCAAAGTAAATTAATATCTGCCATCCATCAGAGAAAACAGACCATGGCCTCTTTACTAGGTAGATTTCAATCAAATAGAGAGGAAGGACCATCCTCTTCAGCAGCATCGCACAGTCAGACCATCGTGAAGCAACAGGAAACTACACTAGGGCAATTTCAAGGTAGATGCAGGAGCTGAAGGTGGTACTGCTGGTAGCTGACATTGGTCTTTGTGACTGTGGTGTCAGAAATGAAATATGGAAGAAAAGAAAGATGAAAGGGGTTTTTTCCTTGTCTTTTGAAAGCCAAATAAATTGGAAGACTATCTTACAACTTTTAGTTGTTGTCAAATGTTCAGTTTAAAATTATTTGGAAGTTAAGAATAATGAAGGATTTTTTAAATTTTTTTTTGAAGAATGTGGTTTTTGCAAGTTGTCCATGTTGTGCGAGTAATACTTTTCTAGTCATGTTTAATAAATAACTTGGCTGATATTTCTAAAATTTTAAGCACAGTGAAATAACTGATGTTAAAGGTGAAAACACTGTTGCCAGAGTTGCATTTAATCTAGTGTAAATGGGATTATTTAACTATAAAGATCTCCAATCTTTCTTTCTTCATTGGCATTGGAGAGGTCAGGAGTTTACCATTTGGACACATGTTTTTTGCATTAGTTTAGTAAGGAAATTCCATTTCTGTTTCAAAGAATTATGTCCAGTTACATAATTTCCATTCCCTCTGCATAAAAAATGGTAATCCAAAACTGGAAACTGTATTTTTCAATGTATTGTGAAACTTTCAGAACAGTCAGATGAGGACAGTGAGAGCATTTAAGCTTCATACATATGGTTATATTTGCTGCTAGTACTTTGCATAGCATGCTTTGATTTTGCTGTGTAATTCTTGCCAGGACTTTGAGACATAATGCAAACTGAATGGGCAATACAATGGGGAAGGAATTCAGTGTTGAGCTGTCCAAGGGAAATGTACTGGAAAACAGAAATAAAAAAACAATGCACATAGATACTGCTCCTATGTCTAATCTGGTGCAATGATAGCTGTGTTTTTCCTTTTTCTTCTTTTTCAATTTTGAAAGAGAATTTTGGATCAACAAGAACTCTTGGAAGGTCCACAGGGGTCAGAAAATGCACGCTTTGGATCAGCGATTGCAGTGCTTGCAGACATTGATTTGGACGGCTTTAATGATGTTGTAATAGGTGCTCCACTGGAAAACCAAAACTCTGGAGCAATTTATATTTACAATGGATTTCAAAAGACTATACGTACCAAATATTCTCAGGTAAATAATTTTGCATAATAATCAGTGCCTTTAGATCTGCTAGAGGAAAAAGGAAGATTTTTCTATGGTTTAATTGGGTAGTGTTTCATCCTCTTAAAGGAGTACTGTTATTCTCATGGCTTATTTCAGGTTTTGTGCCTCTCCTTCCTTCAGCTGTCAACATACCCAGGTTGATGCTGTCGTGCTTATAACTGAACCATATAGAGGAAAAGCATTTGCAAGATACTCTGTCTTCTAAACCTCTTACCATTTTTGATATATAAGTCTGAAGTCAGCTGATTTCCTATTTGTTTTTGATACCCATTATTCACATTTTTAGGGTTGATGTACAGCAATGAAGATTAGATAGATCCCAGCTCCCAGGCAAAGTCTTTCAATGATCTATGTGTCTGCTATAATGGTAATAGTACTATCACTTTCCATGCAGACTTTCTGGTTGCAGAAAGTATTTTTTATAAGTCCTCTTAAGCTTCGCATTCTTAGAGTTGCTCCATGTAGATGGAAGAAGTTTCCAGTAAGTACTGTCTGGCATACAGCAGTCAGTATACTACTCCCAAGAAAGAAAAATCTAGTCCATTGTCTGCTCCAACAGAGGAGGAAGAAGTGCTAGAAAGCATCTGAGGAAACATCCACAATGCATTTTGTTTAAACAATACATTGTATATACAGGGAGTATCAGTGAAAATCTATTGCTTAGGCTGCTATCTACTGACTTAAGCATGCTCTGGCAAACTCAGTAACCAAACTCTCTTTCCTAGAAAATTTTAGGATCGGATTCTGCTTTTGGACAACAGCTCCAATTCTTTGGAAGATCAGTAGATGGCCATAGAGACTTAGATGACGATGACATAAGTGATGTATCAGTTGGTGCTGATGGAAATGTGGTTCTGCTATGGTTGGTAAACTCTTTTTAGAAAGGAAATGATTAATTATTCAGATACAAGTTGAACATTTAGTTAATTAAACAGGAAAATAAGCAAATGAAAAAGCTCTTTCGTCCTGTGTCTGCAGAACTAACACACTTACTGCCTCATCTCTGCTATCTTACCTAGCTCAAAAAAGAGCATTAGACTAAATCTCTTTTAAGCATTTATTGTCAAAGCATCAAAAGCAAAGGCAGCACAGGGGGCAGACTCAGGGCATATGGGAGGAAGCCAGGTGGTTGAGCCTGCTGTGGGGAGAGCCAGGACACATCCCTGCCCACTGCTCCTGTGCAGACCTGGTCCAGAGGGAAGGGGCAGCAACAGGGAATAGGGCTTGCTTGCGAGTAATGGCAACAGCAGGTTGCGTACTTCAGCAGCCACAGTATAATTTTGATAGCTGAGCCTGAGACAGGTAAAACCACCTCCCACACAACCTGCATGACCTTTACTGACTGGTAGGCTGATATGGGGAAAAGAGTTGTCTTTCAGGGTAAGGACAGAGAGCAGTAATAGAGAGTTGACCCTTATTTCTGTGAGAACCCATTTTTATGGGCACATGGCCTTTGCCACAGCAATCTGAGTACTTTCACAAAATAAAATAGAAAGGTTTCACAAAACCCAAATCGTCTGCCTCCTTAAGTACTGAGAA